AATTCAATAGACATGTATTGCGTTCAACTATACTTTTTGTAATTAAGCTTATAATTAAGTTTTTAAAACTGAGGCATGTTTGAAATGTCTTTATTAAAAAATATGAACAATGAGAATTTGCTTAAACACCGAAGGTTAAAAAAGAAATGTTTAATCTTACACTGACCGCCTTTTATTTTGTAAATAAAAATGTTTTTTGTCGGAATGGATGTCGTACTTCTGTCATATTTCAATATTACATCCCCAAGGTGTCGAACTACGTTGAGAAACTGTAAACATGAATCAGTTCAGTGTAGTGATGTAAATATCCAGCAACAAGTAATCAATATCACTGGGACATCAACACTGGTTGTCAATATGTACCGGCTGTATTAGCAACACTTTGGTCTGGAGAGATTAAAACAGATAACGTAAACAGAGAGTGCAGCAGAAAGGACATTGACCTTGAACTTCTGTTTTTCGTCATGTTATATAACCATAGTACATTAAAATACAAAAGATGATCTTTTAAATGTAAACCTTCACAATTTCGACGACTATTCAACATGGGGTCAAGTACCCCTCCGCGTGATTACCGCTCTACTTCCACAAGGTTCTAAGTCCCCCTCCGCATGATTCCCACTCCACTTCCACATGGTGCTAAGTCCCCCTCCGCATGATTCCCACTCCATTTCCACATGTTGCTAAGTCCACCTCCGCATGATTCCCACTCCACTTCCACATGGTGCTAAGTCCACCTCCGCATGATTCCCACTCCACTTCCAGAAGGTGCTAAGTCCACCTCCGCATGATTCCCACTCCACTTCCACAGGGTGCTGTCCCCTTCCGCATGATTCCCACTCCACTTCCACAAGGTGCTAAGTCCACCTCCGCATGATTCCCACTCCACTTCCACATGGTGCTAAGTCCCCCTCCGCATGATTCCCACTCCACTTCCACATGGTGCTAAGTCCACCTCCGCATGATTCCCACTCCACTTCCACAAGGTGCTAAGTCCACCTCCGCATGATTCCCACTCCACTTCCACATGGTGCTAAGTCCCCCTCCGCATGATTCCCACTCCACTTCCACATGTTGCTAAGTCCACCTCCGCATGATTCCCACTCCACTTCCATATGGTGCTAAGTCCACCTCCGCATGATTACCACTCCACTTCCACATGGTGCTCAGTCCCCCTCCGCATGATTCCCACTCCACTTCCACAAGGTGCTAAGTCCACCTCCGCATGATTCCCACTCCACTTCCACATGGTGCAAAGTCCACCTCCGCATGATTCCCACTCCACTTCCATATGGTGCTAAGTCCCCCTCCAAATGATTACCGCTCTACTTCCACATGGTGCTAAGTCCACCTCCGCATGATTCCCATGATTATATAGTGTGCATGTCAGAACATTCTACAATAAACATCAAGAAAATAACAACATGTCAACATAATCATAATCCAAACTCAAATTCAATAGACAAAAGAACGATTTACAAGGAGATCCATGAAAAGGTAGAATATAAATCAGGTGCTCTGATAGAGAAAGTGTTCTCTACTTCATCGGCAACACCCGCCATGTAACCCAAGTAATAATGTCACGTTCTTAAATGAGAACATGGGAAGTCGGTCCCTTACCAACACCCCAGCCTTCTACCCATGGTGTTATGTTTTCGTATGGTTTCTTAAATCAACACTCTCGTACGTAGATACGCGTTGTATTTGTGTATTCTGATAAACTCTATAGCTAAAACAAGATTAGTTGAATGTGAATCTTGGTATTCAGATTCATTGATTTAATGTATTCAAAAATTGTATTTGACGGTGATTGTACCGGACTATTCCAAGAAAGATTTAACATATGTAGAACTATATTTCTATAATATGATTTTCTAGTTCATTTTTGACAATCACAGACGAAATCCTATTAGAACGAGACGGCTGGACATGATGCGGTTTGATTTACAACTTGACTATTTAGTATCTGATGATCCTTGTGATATTCTTATGCGTTTTCTTTGTACATCCTTCAAGTTGTTAATGTAGTTCATCATAATTATTGTCCGAAAAATACCATAAACAGTCATTGTGATAGATTGTTCTTCTTCTAGCACGATATCTCTAAATGATATTAATTTTATTTAATTAAAAACCATGTGTTTTGTTTGTTTGTTTCTTTGTTTGTTTTCCTTTCTTAATGTTTCACTAGACAATGTCACTGTTTTATATGTTTATCCATTTATTGGGAAAATACATTTAATAACTAGGATGTGAATTTGCTTTTGCTCTCGTGAATACCGCACACGTTATTGTAATAGTACATATTAGCTCATAAAGATTGACAATAAAAAGACAATTCGGCGAATCACAATTCCTCGTCGACTGTAAAATCCTTTGTCAATGCATTGTAAGTGAACCCATGTTAAAATAAGAAGTTTCATTGACCATTAGTGTAGGAGATAGAGATAGGACATTTTTCTGAAAAGTATAAAGTTCGAAAGGTCAAAATGTAGGCCAGCGTGACCTGCTTTGACACATGACAAACTGCCACACCTAGATGAACATATACCGCAAATAGGAAGTTCTTGTGGCTACTACTGTAGGAAATATAACATGGACATGTTTTGATGTGTGATACACGATCCATGGACTGGTCAACATAAACCCATGTCACAAGTATGAAGTTTCAATGAATAGTATTGTAGAATTTAGAACCAGGACAAACTTTTCTTTGATGTAGGTCAAAGGTCGAAATGCAAGTTAGACAGACTAAGTTTTGATACTTGACACAACGCCTTACCAAGATGAACCCATATCCCAAGTATGAATTACCATTTAATAGAAAGATCACAAACAAGGAAGCGGGGGTACTGAAAGACAGACATACGGAAGGACAGCACAAAAAGTTTTGCCAACCCCTATCGCCCACCCGTTGATTCCCGGTGAGCGATTAAACAAGTACAAAAAAACAAATCCGACATGCTCCTGCTCGTGTTTTATGTCTTATATCTAAGTCAGTGCAGAGTTTTATCTCTGTAACACAGCTGAATTTATCTCCCTAACTAAACGCCAGACACATTAAGGCTCGCCACTTTACATTTAAAATCGATTTTCTCTGTGAATTCCACCAGTATTGGCCATTTTTTGTAGTATGTTCCGTAGCTTTTAATCTATATTGTCACCATTTACAATATATATACCCGCTGTATTAGGTTTGTAACAACACAATTTCCTTTGATATGAACGTATACAGTGACTGAGAATACAGCTGAATTTGATTCTTGGGTGACACACTCAGCTGGAAACATATTTGACAAAACATAATTGGGACAGACATGGACGAAGAGTTGATGTTATTACGTGTTATTACTGCCGCTGTGTACGTTTTTGTCGTATGGAAAAGTATGTACTTGACCGTTTGGTTTTTTTTTTAAACATTTACACCTGAAAATAAAGGCCAAACTGATCTAAATTTAGGATGCAGTACAAGGTTGTAAAAGTAAACATATCTTTCCGTTCACTCGCACGTGTGACGACGAAATGTTTAAATGTTACTCAATTAATTAACATATTTACTACTATGCAGAGTTTTCCCGTGATATTATGTATGTCTTTGATCGATTACCATGGTAATCAAACCATAAGATATTATCACTGATTTATCAAGGGTTAACGTCCTCGATTTTTAGTGGTAGATAAAAACAAATATTGAAAACTCGTGTAGTAATACCTGGGGCATTTAATAAAATATTTTGCATGATGCGAATTCGCTGTCAATTTGATAAAAAGTTTACAAAGTATTGATAAAAGATAGATCAAAGCTCTTTCCTTGAATGTGTTAATATTTATATTTCCAATCAATGATCAATCAGAACAATGGTTAATAACAACAACGCTAAAACAAACCTGAGAGTTAAAGATAGAAAGGCGATACAAGGTAGTAAGGTCGTCATTACAAAGCTAACTTGTTTCTGATTATGAAACTCTTGTAAATAATCTATGTCAATAACAAACACAAAAAGGAACTGATTACAGCAGCTGATAACCTTTGTTTCATAACAAATTTCGTCTCTCCTCAGCTGCATACTCGGACACAACGTGACCGGAAATTGGGAGGTTAGAATGCTGTAATTGATTATAATTATTTCATTCACTTATCAATGTAAACATTTCACATTATGTCAGTCAAAACGAATATCGCTGTATTTTTAAACAGACAGAATCCCTCAGCATCCGTCTGTTCACGACTGATAAACTATGGCTTCTCAAGCAAGTACACGTGCACTTTAAACACACTGTACAATCGTTATCGTTTTTGATTGGCCGTATTGTTCTACCCGCATTTTTGAGGGCGCATTATTTCACAACATGGCGTCACATCATTTCACAAACTGCTTTAAAAGGAAACATCGATCAAATGACAGCAGTTAGTTTGGTTGTCGGTTATGACAGCTCCTGCACTTCTCATTGATATTAATTGATTTGTTTAGGATATATAATTGGTATGTTTCTTGATAATGGAATCAATATGTCTAAACCGTGCCGTTATTTACCTTCATAAACATTATATAAGGCGAACAGGGTTGCGGACATAGATTGGGTAGGGAATTCCAACCTGCAGGGTGTAAACCTCGCAATGTCAAATGTCACACAAGGGAATATCGTCTACATTTATATCAATACAAACACATTGAGACCAAATAGCCGAATAAAGAATCTAACTGTATCCTAAAGCTGTTTTTGGTTATCTAGGACCCGTCAGTGATGCTGTATCTTTCGTCTTTAGCATCATCATCATCATCATCATCATCATCATCATCATCATCATCATCACGAAATAACTCACATATTTATTTGTTTAGTTACCTATATTTTATATACGATATATACATTCATCGTGAAATGTTTATCATTACTATATCATCTTATCTGACGACACAACATCACATCTATCTGCAGTGACCACCATTGTGGTAAATCTTTAAAAAATATTCACATCTTACATCTGCTGTCTGCTGCTATTTGCCTGTTGTTTTGCTGCTGTTTGCTGTTGTCTGCTTCTGTTTGCTGTTGTCTGCTGCTGTTTGCTGTTGTCTGCTGCTATTTTGCGTCTGTTTTCCTTGCTGTTTTGTTGGTGTTTGCTGTTGTCTGCTGCTATTTGCTATCGTCTGCTGCTGTTTTGCTTCTGTTTTGCTGCTGTTTGCTGTTTTGTTGCTGTTTGCTGTTGTCTGCTGCTGTTGTCTGCTGCTGTTTTGCATCTGTTTGGTGCTATTTTGACAATGCTTTAGTGCTGTTTACTGCTGTTTGCTGTTTTGTTGCTGTTTGCTGTTGTCTGCTGCTGTTTGCTGTTGTCTGCTGCTGTTTTACTGCTGTTTGCTGTTGTCTGCTGCTGTTTTGCTTCTGTTTGCTGTTGTCTGTTGCTGTTTGCTGTTGTCTGCTGCTGTTTGCTGTTGTCTGTTGCTGTTTGCTGTTGTCTGCTGCTGTTTGCTGTTGTCTGTTGCTGTTTGCTGTTTTGCTGCTGTTTTGCTTCTGTTTGCTGTTGTCTGCTGCTGTTTTGCTTCTGTTTGCTGTTGTCTGCTGCTGTTTTGCTGCTGTTTGCTGTTGTCTGTTGCTGTTTGCTGTTGTCTGCTGCTGTTTACTGTTGTCTGCTGCTATTTTGCGTCTGTTTTGCTGCTGTTTTGTTGCTGTTTGCTGTTGTCTGCTGCTGTTTGCTATCGTCTGCTGCTGTTTTGCTTCTGTTTTGCTGCTGTTTGCTGTTGTCTGCTGCTGTTTGCTGTTGTCTGCTGTTGTCTGCTGCTGTATGCTGTCTGCTGCTGTTTTGCATCTGCTTGGTGCTATTTTGACAATGCTTTAGTGCTGTTTACTGCTGTTTGCTGTTTTGTTGCTGTTTGCTATTGTCTGTTGCTGTTTGCTGTTGTCTGCTGCTGTTTGCTGTTTTGCTGTTGTTTGCTATTGTCTGCTGCTGTTTGCTGTTGTCCGTTGCAGTTTGCTGTTGTCTGCTGCTGTTTGCTGTTGTCTGCTGCTGTTTGCTGTTTTCTGCAACTGTTTTGCATCTGTTTGTTGCTATTTTGACAATGCTTTAGTGCTGTTTACTGCTGTTTTGCTGTTGTTTACTGCTGTTATTTGCACGCAAAAACTGAATCTTTGATGATTTTATTGCCAAAATTTTACAATTTCACAATTTTCACTTACACAATATTTGTCACCTCATTTGATGTTACAAATAATATCTACCTGTTGATAAGTATAGACTGTTCACGTTTTGAGTGCTGACAAAGGGGATTTATAGAAAGTGTGGACTGGATTGCCTGCCTTTTTTCTGCTAGAGTGCGCTTGTATTGCCAAATTTAAGTCTAGCGGAGAATAGAAAAACTAAGGAAATGGAAGTGTATTTAATTTAATACATTGGGATCCTAACGTTATATTCCACCCAGACAACGTGTGGTCAAACTATAGCAATGGACCCCTAGAAATACACCATATAGGAGAGTATGTCAGAAAATAAATGTACAGTTCGAAAGGTTAATTGTTGCTACATGTGTCATTAAGTCAGACAATGTCAACAGTATTGACAAGGACATGTACGTATGTGGCGCTAAGAATTCTGTTCGGTGGCATTTAGTTATCGTTTGTTATTTATTCAAATGAAAAATAATAGATATGGGTTAGAGAACAGTGGCTTGGTCTTCACAAAATTTTCATTTAAACAAATTCAAGCAAATGAATATACACCACGCCCATCCCCCAACCCCCAGTTAAAGTGAATGTACATTTACTTTACTACAAAACCAACGTAAAGTAGTTAACATAGAATTCTAGAACATAGTTAGTATTAAACGAATCAACGTCAGAAACCAACTTGTAAAACTGAAAGCACGAGAGAAAGAAATTAATTCAAAATGTAGTAATTTTCGGTATTTGTGTCGGGGAATCAAATAAGACTTCTTCACTGTTATCAAATGAAATCCCCAGATTCAGCAATGGTCCATGTCAGAGGCCTCCCATCTCTTCCTACTATATATGATGATGGTTTCCTGATCAACTCCTGACCGACATTATAAAGGAGAGAACACAGAAATTTGGAAAACTGTTCTTACTTCAAAGTCGGCTTTTACTACAACACCATTCGTTGTTGAAATACATATTTTATAAAGACATCGAACATGGTCTAAGAACGAAACCATTGGGTTTGAATAAAGCAGCTGGAAGAGTATTGTCTCAGCAGGGGTTTATAAGGACTCATACTGCAACAAGTGCGTCCGATTCTTTGTTTGTTTTTATTTTTGCTTTTGTTTGCTTCTTTTTTCCGATCGATTCCGAAATAATTGATTTTTTGTTTTTACGAAGAGGAATGTATCAGCTGGACTCTGAATGGTTACGGTACGGGACAATATCGACTATGAAAACCAATTCCATGACAGAGATGTACCAATGGTAAAATTGCGTGTGATTGCAAAGAAATTTAATTTTCGTAAAATTTAATTGTTACACTATCAGAGAAATCTAGGACGATAAAAGAGCGAACGTTCTTGATTTAGTTTCCTATAGATGCACTGAGACAGAAATAACTGGCCCAGTATTGATTGAAGTGTTCAGTACTTTGTATGGTTCAAGGCTTTCTATCGGGTTTAACTTTCAATTTACCGTTTTTAATCTTACGATATATAAAGTCTATACTGGCTCCATGTCTGTCTGAACCCGAGGAAGGATATTTCCCTCTTTGAACATTTACCGTGTACAAACCTTTCAGCCATTAACTGCTGCATTTAACAGGAAATATTTGACGCTGTGGGTTGTAAAAGACTAATCTTTAAAAATGCCATTGAAGAATTAAACTTAGAGAACATTGTAGCTCTTCGATCAAAGAAAATGTGTTTACGATGAATACTGTTAATTGTGTTGTAATTATCTTACTGGTCTTTTTCTTCTTTTTTTCTGTGTTTAGAGTTTTAACTGTGAAGCAGCAACGCTAGGAGACAAGTTTGTAAACTCTGTTATGTTGCCATAGAAAACAGAATTTTGATTTCGTTGAAATATTTTAATGACATATTTTCGGGAACAATCAATATGAAACAGTGTATTTGTTGATAATAAAACTGATCATAAGATATCGATTATTTGCACTGAAATAGATTCCTGATTTTTCAAGGTTACACAAACTAAATCAAATGTAGAATGTATTTTTTTGCATCTAATAACAAATGACCTTATCCTATCATAAACCATTAGCTTTGTTTCGCTTTCGACAATGAAAGTAGAACGTTTAAACACAAAACAAACTTACGCTCAATGTATACAAATTAGACACGTGTGCGTTATCGTGTAATGTAACAGCGACTGCGTTCTTTATTACAGTACTCATTATTTTACTGGTTTTGTGGATTTGTAATCGGACTAGATACGTTATCCTTATTGCTCTGAATGGCATGCGTAGGGCCTCTCGTATGTGTTTCAATGAGGTAGCTACTGACCACTACATAGACACCGCCTCAAAATGGCCCTGACTATTGAATGGGCAATTTATTTCTGTAAAGAAACAAACAAAGTTTCAGAGATTAAAAAACACACATTTTAATCAAACCCATCTCAAAATGACCCTGACTATCGAAGAGTCCAATAACCTAGTAAAACAAATCCTTTGACGTACACGTTGGTGGCCTGTGGTTGAGCACGTGTTTATCGTCTATGGCCGGATGTTGAATATTAAACCGTTCAGTTTCCTACATATGTATCAAATATAAAGTAAAGAGAACTTTTAAAAAGTTGCATTCTAAAATCTGAATTAGTCTGTTTAAATTTAGCTGCGGATTTATTTTTCTGTATTATATGGCTATATCGCTGTATTCAAATCCATCCTGTTTCCTGATATCGGTTTAAAGCACGTTAGGTGTACCGTTTGACCCCTTGTGACGCCAATATTGATTTAACAATCCTACAGGAAGCCAACACTTTCATCTACGTCATCTAAATTAAATATTCGATCAGATTAAGTCGCTGCATACCAACATGTGATGTATGTACGATCATGATATCCATAAAATGAAGTATTTGTATGTATCCTAACTGTTTAAGCAAGCTCTATTATCGAATCGCGCGACTCTATTCTAACACGTTATAGGGGAGGCAACTCTAGTAGTTTTCTCGTTTTCATCTCGTCGCAAGACCTAACAAATTAATATCAGTCTAAGGGGTTAACATACATCTAACATGTATTTGAAATTCGTTTGATAATGAGATGAAAAATACGGATGCTTTGTCATATCGTTAATGAAGTTAATTTTCAAGTGAAATCTTTTATAAATTGCATAAATGTGTTTCGTAGGAATCTGAGATCACGGACAGTCAGATGTTTGCATATTTATGTCGTAAGGTAAAATATTTCAACCCACCCCCTTTCCCTCATTGCCCTTGATGCCATACACCCTGTAACATCATTTAGTCACATGGCCATTATAATGACGTCAACAATCTCAATATGACAACACTAACCTTACTATGCATGAAATTATCAAAATTATGCAACATTCACACAGAAAGTAAATGTCGGTAATGGTTTTCAAAACATATATCTATTGCTGAATAAGATGTGTTAAAATTCATCGCTGAACTCGAGAACATTAGGAGAGTATAGTACATAATATGTAGTGTGTGTCTGGTTGAGGTCAGTAACCCGGTAACATTGAAACACTTGACACAATTGACAATGTAAACACGCACAAAAACAGGCTCGCTGGTGAATGGGCGGAAACTACAGACGGATATGATCAGTAATAGCGTATAGTTGTGGTCAGTTTGAATGGACAATCGAATCTCGATATCATTCTCCAGAAGGACAATGTAAAGTTGTTACTTTCTAAACTATTCGTTAAGATCGACCAATATGAGCACGCAAAACGTATATTGTTTAAAATTAGAGCATGGTTTGTTGGGTACAAATGGCCCCGCCAACAGCTTTAAGAAGCAGGTAGTTATATTAAACCTCAATGACCACCATGCGGGAAGTCCGTCGCAAACTATTGAAAGCAATCAATGTCAAGTGTCATGACCAAGGACACAACCGTAACAGCTCAGTACGACCACACATCCCTTTTCCTCCTCCGAATTGAAATCATCGAACCATGCATACACCACCTCGGAACCTCCTGCGACAATCCCATGTAGAAGAACATACAACATTAGATGAAATATATATATATAATAAAGGCTGTTTCCAGCGTTATCGTATTCAAAGTTGCGTCTAACGCTAGATAACATCACGTGGACAAACTGATGTACATTAACCCGCCTGTAGGATATTGTATTTTCTGTATATTTGTGTAGAAGGAATCACTAATCCCTTCTCTAAATGTCACTTGATTATATCTAAGACATTGAAATATGTCAAAACCTCTCGAGAAAATTTCAAGTGTTGTAGAAACATTTACACAAGTTAAAAGAATCTTTCAGGTCTCGTCTTAAAACCACATTAGACTGATTCCGGTAATATCATACTTATTTTTCAGCATCTTTCCGTCTTAAATACTTCATGAATTGCACTTTCTCTTAATAATTCAAGTTATATGCTTCCATCTCTTAATTATTCAAGTTATATGCTTCCATCTCTTAATTATTCAAGTTATATGCCTCCATCTCTTAATTATTCAATTTATATGCTACCATTTCTGATTTATTTAAGCTATGTGCTTCTACCAATGTCAAATGTGAAGTAACCTGGAGTGTATGTCCTATCTTCCCTAAACTTTACGTTCCATCATGACCCCATGACCCCTTGACCCGAGTCATCATTGTTTCGTCTACATTTACTAGACATGAATATTACGATTTGTAAGAGAAACAATGAGAAATTACGCGGGAATCCATTTTAAACAGATGCTAGACTATATGTCTAGAGTTCTGATACACTGGATATTGGAGGGGATGAATGAAAGGAAACTGGACGGATATGGTCAGTAGCTACATGCGGAAGTGGACAATTTGAACGGAAAATCAAATTCCCGATAATATGAATGCGGACAATGTAAACAGAAGTCGTATAACTTCTCGCATGACGTATGTAAATATATGTAGATATCAGATAAGTCTGTACCTTGGAGATTGGTTCATTAACATGATGAGGAAGGTTACACGGATATATCGCAGACTACCAAAAACAAACACATTTAACACATGGACATTCCTTGTATGTACCTGGAGGAGACCGTCTTTAAAAGATCATAGCTGTTGACAGGACGTTAAACAACATTAAGCCTGACTAACACTCCTCACATACATCAGGAGGACGTCCTTAATTTACCTTAGCTTTTGATACGACGTTAAACAATATAAACCAAACCCTTGAAGTTCGGTTATTTTCTGTACATCTTACGCTAAGTACGATACATCATTTTCTTTCTCAATATCAGTCAATTCTCAGTCCGTTCATCTGTTAAGATTAATACATATACTAGGCGCTAATTCCAGTGTTGCCCTTTTTGTTGTTTCCTCATTTCATATGATCTTTTTTAAATCGATTCTATGAGATAAGACACTGGTTGAACATATTCATTATTCATTTGTTGAGGAGATATTCCAACAGATTTCTGACATATCAATTGGAACTAGTGTCTTCCTTTCTAGACCGATTAGCTTTTTTTATTCGCTTTTAGATACTTTGGTGATTTCTGGTCTTTAAACAGCAAAAAAAAATTCATCAATCATGTTCATCCTATATATTCATGAGAATTACCACGATCTTAACATACAAAGAAACAGACAAGGATATTTCCCAGTAAGGTATATGATAAGCGTGACTTTTTCGATGTACTTTCCACTCTAGCTAGCAATATTCCTGTTATCTCAACCTACGGGTTTTACCTGTCACAATTGATTCGATGTACACTAGATATAAAAATTATCGTGAAAGCTGTAAGATATAAAAACTGACAGAAAAACTTGTACAGTAGTCTTTTGAGAGATGAAATGCGTTTTTATCATCCTTCAATAATCACCACTATCGACGATGAGAATTAAAAAACCCAGGAACTAACACTTGCTAAAAGGAAGCTATATACTCTTAATTCTGATTGGCTGTTAAATCCTTGCACCCCTTAATCATAAAACGGTTCAGTGCACTGAAGGATGTGTTTAACATCATCAAGTAATTTACGAGAACACATATGAAAATAGCAACATGTCAACAGAATCTTAAATCAAAATTTAAGTTCGTTGCAACCTGGAACAATTATAGAAAAAATAACATCGAGACTACTGAAAAAGGCAAGGAGGATAAGATTAGGTGATCCGGAAGGGCAATCGTAACTGCTGTTTTCATAACATTTTGTATTGTTATTTGTATGTGTTTAACATTTGCTATCTTGATAAGAGGACGGATGGTCCATTTGCGGTTTTGAGTATTAAATGATCCTAGAAAGAATTCGGTATGTTGTGGACGATGGTAACAGTTAGTGTATAGGTTGTAATTTAAGTGGGCTCCTATTTTCTTGCTTCATGAAGAAAATTAACCGGAGAAATTGAAACCTTGGAAATAAAAGTGGTACAGAAACTTGTTGTTTGTCTTATACATCACACGAAAAATATATCCTTTCTTCATTGGTTCCAGCTTTTGGTAAAACCGCAAAAAATGGAAAATCGAAAAATGAAATAATTTCAGAAATGATAGATGGAAAAGGAAATATATAACCAAGAAAACAACAAGAAAATTGAAAATATAGATACAATGATTAGTACGTGATATTGTGCATTATTGGTCTTGTTTTTAACATCAATATATTTACAATATAAGTTTAAGTTAAACGAAATAAGTAAATTATTAATCAAATATAACAAAACAAAGAAAAGAAAAAAGATGTAGCATTTACAGTTCAGGTGGAACTAATATCTTGGTAACGAACATTGCAATCATCGTATCACTTACTGTTTAATGGTAAAAAACCTCTCTTAACTTTTGTTCTTTCTTTGAAAAGACGATAGAACGTTTGAAGCTATAATGCTGTCACAGCATCGCCTTCCAATACACTAGATATTGTTAACTTAAGACACATTAAAAAGAACATGAAAACAACTTTAAAAAACCCCAGAAATTGTAGTAGCCCAGCAGATTTCACTACAGTGCGAAAATATCCTTATGAACAATTCTATAAGAAGAGTAAAAAATCAATAAATCAATTAAAAACTCTAAATCGGCAGGAGATATGTCATAACTACAGTATATAGAAGAAAAGCTTGGACTCTCCAAAGGAAGAGTTACCATGTAAGTTAACAATCGACCACAGTACATTGTTATCATCTCGTCACATTATCTTCTACCTTAGTGTACCAAGGATTATAATACAGCCGAATGGTCGATTCCTCGCTATCTCGTACACTATATACGTCATTGCTACTTCACTTTATACTGGTTATTTGTTTGATAAGGAAGACAGAGTAGTCATCGAAACTTTACAACTGAATGTTCTACAGGTTGGGTGATAAACAATGCTATTATAGATACATAGAACAGTATAAAATCCACTTGAGCGTGACCCCTTAACGGTTAGATCTCCGTTACGTGGTGTTCATTAACTGTATCTTAATCAGATTAAAATCTAATTGAAGTATTGGGAATTTTTATAACAAAACACGATAAAAATAAAACATGAAAAAGTACCATAGATCAAGTTAAAGATGTATCAAAAAGCAGAAACATTATTCACTTTTACAAGATCCACAAAAATAATGATTAATCTGCTGAACAGGAAATTTTATTATCTTATATCCTTATTTCCTATTAAATATTGATATCGCGTAAATATTACAAATGTTGTGAACTTTAATGTTTCATTCCGGAAGTGAAAGTATTAAGTATTTCTAACATTCGTGTTACAGTATCCTGTAACTGTTGTAACAAAAACAAACTGCTCTACATAACTTTTATCATCGCTGTCAGGAAGTAAAACGTTCAAGGACAATTCTAAATTGTAAGTATTATATATACATATATATATATATAGTAATACAACAGTTCCTGGTATACATACATGTAGTTGAATTGTACTTAAATACAGGTTTGTATAAATATAATGATGTAGGAACTGTATGTACATCATCACGACTGTCTCATCACCTTGTTGAAGACGTCCCTAGCTGCTGCTGGTCGCCATCGGGATCTTATTGAAAACTATTTTTATTCCATTCATGCAATATGAAGCTGGACGTGTTTGATGCTCGTTAGTTTGCCTATTGCTTCCGTTGTTATAAACCTTTTTTCTCGTTGGAGAAAATTACTTGACTTTCTTGGATTGACCAAATTTTACATGGCGGGTGTCGTCCATGAAGCAGAAGACTCCTACTTTTCCCGAACACATAGGCAGAAGTTTCCGTGCAAATCTTTCTTGTGTTCATATTTCATGTTCATATTGTTGTATTGAATTGGAGTTTGGATTATAATAATGTAAACACGTTGGTATTTTCTTTTAATGAAGTTTTAATTAGTTGCGCTTGCAGGGACGTAAAATCCAGATATGCTAATTTTAACAAGATTCAACATGCCGGACAATGAGAGCAATACTCCATCAAGTCAAGTGTGTCTGCAGCTATTGGTAAACACGTTTTATCCGATCAAACTTTAATAAAACTCGTTATTCTCTGCAAAGAACACACACAATCTAAAGATAAATAGGATCTTGAATTAATTTGTAGTTTTCATTTCATGTGAGATTTTTTATGAAATTTCGAGACGGGTTTCAATTCACGATGTTACGTCATCGTCAATATTATGACATCACAATCGATTTAAGAGTGGGCAACCAATGAAAGATGATGTAAGGTAAATGAGCGAACTAATTGAATAAATGGGCCTTTTACATGATAAATATATATCATTATATGAAGATAACGCATTGTTAATTATGTCAACTGAAAGTTGCTTTTCATGATTTGGATACATGATGATAAGAATTGCTAGATTAGAGCGTCATCACATACGCTAGTATGTACATACAAGTTAACAAAAACCAGTGACGTATGTAAGAGTGATCACATCCGCTTATTGTTAGAAGAAATCAACACTCTTTCTACACAAATTGATATATCTTTAATGTTTCTCAACAAATGTGCTTTGTTTCTGCAAGGTATTTCAATGAAGATCTTCCATGTCTTTCGAAAAACATGAAATATTGTGCAGTGTGTTTGTGTTTTATTTTGCTGTTCAAAATTGCACTTGGGATTAGAGGCTTTTCAAATTACCTCAGATGTACTAACGAGGCTGCTTTACCGGTCAGAGGTAGGTATATAACATAAGTACTACCAAGTAGGATTGTACTGGTGTGTGACAACACTTGATAAATACACTAAAATAGCAAGCGAAGAAGGAAATTTTCCATTAAACATACTGATTATCTTCGGAATCATGCAAATTTTTAAAGGCGATAAATACTTGGCAACGGTATTTTACTAAATATAACTTAATTTTGTTGAAACATTTTGTCATACAAATTAATTGGACAGGTGCCAAGTATTTTTTGCGGAAAAAAATACATATTGATGTCAAAATGTTGTGAATGAATAACTTCATTCAGTGAATAATCGACTGCAATGATAAACATTTAGATATTTTTTGTTCGAAATCACATTTATATGTTACAAGGTGTGACTTAGATTTTTTCTGACAAAAGTCATTGAAATGTTTGTAAAAATCGTATACATGTGGTGTGTACACAAGGACTGTTGTTCCTTAGCATTCTGGTATAGATGCGAAATAAATTTTGTTTCATCTTTATTCTTATTCATTGACGTGTTGCCAGTTTCATTAACATGAACCGCTGTAAGTATTGAACTGTGTTAAAATTATAACATCACGTCAGTTTCAGAGAACAAAAAGAAAAAAACCAATATGTCAAAACAATTTGTAAGCTAAATTTAGAAAAACTAGGGCAAAATATAAACAAAATAAAATTTACACTGAGGCTCCTGAAAAAAGTACAAGGAGAATAAGACCAGATGTTTCGGACGAAAAAGTATTTTCTGTTTTATCAATGACACTTGATATAAAAATCTTGGTCAATCCAAGTAAGTAATATTTTCTCAAACGAGAATAAGGTATGCAACAATGGCACCAACAGGTAAACTAACAGATGTGGTTCATTCATAGGTTAGAGAGAAAAACTAAGACCTGGGAGTGTGTTTTAAAGTTACGGCGCTTCAGAATACATGGTCAATATCTTTGTGTGTTGGTATGACTGTTAAAACGATACACAAAATTATAGTGTTATCAATGTGTCATAGCAATTTCCTCTGTTTGCTTTTTTGGAAAATTGCATTCCATGCATCAAAAATTTTACATGGCAGTTTTTGATAATCCAGAAAGATATTTGTCATTTTCTTTAAACATTCTCAAGCACCAATGTCAGCAATTTTGTCGTGTAAAAATATGAAATATGAAATAATCACTTTTTATTATGAATTATTGTTTTTTTCTGTCATGATTAAGAGTTTTCATACTGCAATGTGAAAATATCAATAAAGAAATTATTTTTTAAGAGTTTTTTTATTTCAATTTATACAACGGTTCTTTCATTAATCCTCCATCATAGGTATATATAATTGTGTTATTGAGTTGGGACATTGTCTTTTAATGAATGAAATGGAATATAAGGATGATTTTCAAAATTTTCTTCATAAAGTGTCGCACAGTAGGCTCAATTACACAAACATGGAACATAATTAATTGTTAGAGTTAGCATACCATCTGCTTTCTTACTAGCAAGTCAGGGTTTCTGTGCCACGATCCATTCTTTCTGTTCCTGTACTTTTAGATCGAGACCTAGAGTGTGAGCGGAAGGCAGAGGAAGGATCGTGTGACTTTTTTGACTGTTATGAAGCACGATTCCCTTGTAGAAGATGTGGCTTCGCAGCCAATCCAGAACGTAATTTCTGTAGGAGGTTCTTCAATCCTAATAATTACAGAAATTTTGACGTGCAGGTAAGCCATGCCAGAGTAAATGTTTCGGTAGACTGTGATAAGGTTTGAATGCCGTAATCTACAACAAATGTACCTCCAAGACTACCATTCTGAAAACTATGTGATGAATCCGACATTACACTTTTTGTATTTGCTAGAATCAGTAGGATAACAGTGTCTACATACTGCGACTCTTAATTGTATTAAGTGAATTTCTCACGTGTTATATTTCTGCACATATGTCAATTATGCAAAATTACCTGAAACGTGAGTCATTAATGCGTCAACGAGGATTCGATTTGATGTCATAATGATTTTACGTCTTGAATTAAAAATGGTCAACTAAAATGGCTGTCCCCGTCTGATTTTGTCCCGGTTATGCATTAAAAAATCTTAAATCTGTTTTCACTTCATATGGGATTTGCTGGAAGTTTTGCTCAGTGTTTTAATTCTTACATGCAAAATTAAAACCATCTAAGAATTATCATATCATAGGTGATAGAACACTAGGTTACCAAATATATCTACTGAACATTTTGTTGAAAATGGTGAAATATAAAAGATAGGATTGGTAATGACATTTCAATGGCGAAATGCCCTGTATCATTTTCGTGTTACTCAAGAATAACGTCTTATTGATAGAAACTGGCATTTAGATGATAGCAACACAATCAATGGAACAATATAATTGTACAATAAGTTCAAGTACCTACTAAACAAACAAAATATTTGTATATATATCCACAATGGATACACATCAGTGCTACACTGTTAGGTAATAAATCCTAAAGCGAGCTACATAAGTAATTACTACATATTTATTGACCTATACGTGTATGCTGGAGATCTAATACAACTGTTTTTACAAGCTTACATTTTCCCCTTGGAATTCCTTTGTGTTAGTATAAGTGAGAATACCGAAGGGAAATGAATGGGGTATGTACGTACCCTTCAATTTGATATATCTGAATTCTAGGAAATTGGATAATTTGATACAAATCGGTTTAATAGAGAGAATGAACAAAAACGCATGTATATATATATATATAATATTATACCAAACACATATATAACAAACACTTAAGTGTATATACTACATTTCCAAGTCAAACAAATATACACACTGGAAATTGTTAAAAATGGGAATAAAACATTACTGCTAAACATCAAATTCAAACTATAAATAGCCAATGTCTATCTAATCCCTCACTGTCTTTTATCATTTGATGTTAAAATCTGACGCATTTGGGTCATTTTGATCTATTTATACATCTTGTATTTTCATTCCTATTGTTTTTCTACAAGTCTTTCATTGTCCTGATGTAATTGTTTTTTTCAAGATTTCGTAAGTGCTGTTCCTCTATGTTTTGATAACAATACAGTCATAGAGTTGTCAAGTTTTAAATAAAACTGAATGCAGATGAACTGCTTTTCTGTATTGAAATCTTCGAAACATCCTCATTGATTAAAAAAAAGACACAAAAGCACAATTTAATATCAATTTAGATAAGATACAGTAGAGCCAACCAAACAATGAGTTAAACTGCATCACCTGTTTCATCCTTCTAGAACTCATCAGTGAAAAACACAACAAAAACAAACAAACAAACAAAAATGAATACAATAAATACTGAAAAAGAAGTTTAAGACATTTTCTATGATTTTAGTTTGAATAGACATTGTTTTAAACTTTAAGAAACGAAAAAAGATAAACATATACTATAGTTAACTATAATTCATGGCCATTGTTTTCATATTTACTTACATAACTCATATTATATAAAAAGAATTCAAAATATATCAAATATAAAAACAGTTCACTTTTAACTACGAATCAATATTACGTCATCATATTAAAAGCGGTCATGCGACCAATGTACAGGCAATCATTTTTATATTGTTACTTATTTTTAGTAATATACCACCGCGTTTCTGTCACATTTATTGTATTTTATACCAAGTGCCACTTCACAATTGTACATTGTAAAACAGGGTAGAGCTGTGTAGATGGACGGACTTATATATCTTTACCGAAACACTTCCCGTGTCAAGCCCTCCGGATGCCCAGCCCTGTGATTAAGGCCACAAGGGTGCCCGCAAATGATGTACATATAACCTTACATATCTGCTAATTTCACTAATTACTTGTACATCATCTTAAAAATGTTGCCTGTGGTTTTCAGATAAGCATATATAGTGTAAATGAGGTTGCGTTAAAAAATACAACACAATAAAAATGTGTATCATAAGTATGAAATAATCAGATTTCGTGTATTTAAACAATTTTCTTTATCATTTTTTTTCGAGCAATTTACTTCATGACAACTCCCATGAAAATTAAAAATGAATGATATTCCCTATTATAATTTTATCATTGCGAGCCTAGCTTTACATTGGCGTTTGTGTGAATATGTTCTAATACCAAAACCATACTATCAGTGTTTGATATGTAGGTTGGTAGAATTTTAATCACTATATCTGAACTATAGACATTTGATGTTGAAAATGTCGTTACGATTTTGTAAAAGATTACCAAGATTTGTCACAATACATCTAATTAAGAGTCTGGTAATATTTCCATTATCATGGTAACATGTAGTAAAGCATGAATACTTAAAAACTGGATTAGATTTAAAAAGAACGATAATTGTGTTTTGCACTAAAGACATCATGATATGTAAGACAAATGGGTATTGACAATCAAAACTCAATCATAAAGACTAAATTTAGTGATGATCTGCATAATTATTGATGTATTAGGAAAGATTGCAAAGGAAAATTAGAACATCTTTGAAGAAACATATTTATGCATGTCAGAACCATGCGTTGCAAGAGAAAATAATTATTTGGTCAGTGCCAATTATTGCAATTACCACGCTCGACACCTACCTTAGCTAAATCCTGTTTATTGCACGTGGTCGAGTGAATTACATGTATATTGGATAAATTTTACAAACGACAATGTTCAGTTGAGATATCTAGATATGCGTTAGCTAGATGAAGACTTTCAATCGATATAACGGTAGACATACGAATAATGGAATTATTATACACAAAATTTGGGAGAGGGATCATAACAAAATATGAAAAAGGAAACACAGTTCTCCACAGCTTTAACTTCTCGTCCTGGAAGAGTCACAAAATCTTCAATATTGAAAAACAGAATAATGTAACATACGAGAGCAGGTGTTTTGTGGAGATAATAGCCTCTTTTGTGGTAGAGATGAGCCTCTATGGTACGGCCATAAAACGTCATCAATGTCTAGTGATAGTCTTTATTAAAGCCTTTTTCCACAACGATTTTCAATGTCCAGCACCAGATGGGGAGGTGCAGCAACTCTAAAATTTAAAGTGAATATTTACCGTTCGTGTACACAAGTATCAGAAGTGTGAAAAATTAGTTTGTGCAGATCTCATTTTTATTTAAATATTCTATGTATGATGAACACAGCTGATAATGATTCTGTATCTTTTTAGCTTTTTGCCTTGTTTGATAGTCATCAGCATGTCCCCATGGAAGAGTTTTAACATTTAATAAAGGCGAGTGTTCGATCAACTAAATATAACAACATTTTTCTCACTTTTATCACGCAAGGAATAGATATGTCAGTAGAATCTCAGTTCAAAGGTTGATCTTTGAAGATAAATATTTACAATAAGACCGCTGAAAAAAACACAAGGACAAGGTGTTCCGGATGAGTAAGCGTTCTATGCTTCATCGACAACATCCGCCATGTAAATGTTGGTGTAATGAAATGATAATCTCTACATTTCAGGGCCAGCAGTGGATTAGGTCTGCCCACCTTTGTCTTACACGGATCATGCTTTCTCTGTATGTCCAGAACACGGTCAGTTGTGCGGTCAGTAAACGGATAATGATGAACGCTGTATCCAATTGCTACCTGGGGAACTCTGAACTGTCCTTTTGCGATATGTTCGAGACCAATCAGTTTGCATTTTTCCGGTTGTATGACATCAGGAATATGCATGAAATGATAAGGTAGGATATTTCCTATTATTGGCCCTTTGTTTTAAGGCCACTTTAATACGTCATTTCATTTTATCAGTATTCATTAATCTTAATATCAAGGTTAATATATAAGGTTAGTATCATCACTGACGAGTCCTAAAAGGACGAAATAAAGAACTGTTTGATGTAATATCATTCAGGAATCCTAAAAGGATGAAACAGCTGTAGAATGTAGTTTAAATTATTACTTGACGCTGCAGTATCTATTACTCTCAATAAAATGTAGTCAGTTTCATTATTTATTAAAGTGCTTACATATCAAATATCAAACTTACGAAAAAATAAGATTTAAAATCAATGAAAATTTGCACGTTACGTCAGTGTATTTATGTTTACAAAAATTGTAGAACGTGTTACAAAGCTACACAAAACATGATGATTCGTCCTGTTTTCTCTTACACTTTTCACTTCTTAAGTTGTGAACTATTTCGCAGTCATTGCCGTGATCTCGAAATTTTGAACAATGAAATGATAAGGCTGGTGTTAATTCTATTCTCAAAATAAACTTAGTTCAAAAGACTTTCATGCCATCACTACACTGCTTGACCGTCTCAAATTATCTCAGTTGACTGGTATGTATAATGACATATCGTTGCTTATATCAATTTTTTTCGTTCAATAGATTTTTTAATATTTTTCTTTGTCTCATCTTGGAAGAAATATAGTCAGTTCCCAATACTGTAATCGGACATCTTTGAGCTGTAATCTTATTTTAGCATGGTCTGTATATGATTTGTATTGAGCAATTATCATTGGGGCGTGAATTCATTATTGCACTGATCTGCCGAAATGTGATGATGAACTCAGATCTGATTATGCTAAATTAAGTACGTCTGCAGTATCTTTACACATCTCTCTTTAAATTCTTTAACCAAACTAGATATAAAATAATTTAAGTTTTTGAGGGTGGTAGTCAATTTGGAATTTTGTTTCTGTTCAAATGTAGCTTTTTTTTCATTTCCATCCGCTCATTTGTTTTTTCTTAGATGTCGTAATATTTACAGGTCATTTCAATCCTCCACACTTCATAGAGGAGGAATTTTGATAGTCAGTATATTGATAAACATGAGGTTTCCTGTTTCAGAGCTAATGAGGAAATGAGTGAACTCAGACAAACTTGTGAAATAACTGACCAGGTCGTACCGGTGTCTCCAATACATAAATGATCAGCTACAATGAGAGGACAAGCTAGTGAAGGAACACTGTCTTGTGTTGGCGGTGTGTTATATATACAAATGTGGAGTGTGCATTAAAAACCTGACTTATTGGTCATCGGACAGAAGAGTGCGCTCCATGAATGGTCAATGACTATGTGTTTTTCTGTACATGGACATTGTTTGACAAAAAATAGGTGCAGATTTATACGGGTCAAACCTGTTGTAAATATCTTGTAAAATGTATAATAATGTTTATAATTAGGTCAAACACCAGCCATCATGTAAATTCTCATCAGCAGGTTTATTACAAACAGTTTCCTTCCGTTCTGATCAGTCAAAGTATCAGAGCTTATTTTCTATTTCCAATTTTAATTTCATTTTCGCTCTTTAATGGTGATAATGAAAATAAGGTCAACTTTTTTTTCAAAAACGTGGGGAAAAAAATTGAATATCAATAAACCAGACATTGTGCAAAGAACTGTAACTGGGGTATATATAGTGATAACAGGCTAAAAGAAATACAGATAGACTTCACTATGTTGTTATTTTGTATTGATTGTTTTTCTTGTTGTTTCATTTTCGTATCATATCACCATTTAGATAATTTATACTCGAAATGTGATTTTTATTAGAAAGCAACTTTGAAGACAAATATTTACAATAAGACCGCCGAAAAAGCATAATGACCAAGTGTTCCAGAAGAGTAAGCGTTTTATGCCTCATCGACAACTGATAATTGATACTCGAAATGTGATTTTTGTAAATAAGCAATTTCTCCGAATTCTTCTACTACATGCACAAATATTTTACATATCGTTATGAGGATAGTCTTGTACATATCTATATTCAGACAGCAAATCTCGCAAAATTCACCAACGTGGAATCTATCGCCTCCTCACAGATCCATGGCTTCTTTTTCACAATGTCTTCTGAATACTTTGTCCTACCTTGATCCTGCTAAAGTAGGGTGCACTTTGGGAGAGTTGGCTTGTTTTCACTCGAGCTTTCAATTTCAGCCACAACATATCAAACGGGTTGGGGGGCAATCTGTGACCCTGCAGAGCGTAGTCCGTTCGGTAATGGTGGGCATGAAGTGAAAACACAGATTTTATTCGCATGTTTTGTCTGCTTATTTGTATATATACTGTATGTATGTTATATTTAAGTGTGAGGATGTATACCTCGACACTGTAAACAGAGAAATCACTTGTAACTGATGTGTACGCACAAATTTGTTTACGTTTATTTATGAAAAATATAGGTTAAAATGATACACTTTTTATGTGTTCATGTTGTATGTAATCATGGTTCGAATATTGTCCTATCTTTTTTACATGTATTTTTGTATTTTTTTCACCATTCAACTCAAACGCACAAAAGAATATCTTTTGACAAAGTGTAAATATAGATATATTGTTTAGATATATATGTGTGTGTATATATTTACAATGTTTTCCGCAATACGTGGAAAGATTTAATGAGATGTTATGTAAATCAAGAAAGCCAGTATTTCAGGGGATTTTGAAGGTCAATATATTCGTTGTATATATGTGTACTTTTACTGATACAGAAATAAAACATTGTCATCGGAATATTTATGTGTCTTCTATGAAGCGACAACATGAAGTATTCAAGGGAGACAACTCTGTCATCCCTAATTCAGAGGATACTGTACCACTTCCAGTCATAGTTTAAGCAGCGATTTTTAATTGTGTCTTGGGTGAGGAACCCTTCTGCAAACATGCATCGTAAAACAACAATAAATGTGCAATACTTTCTGATAAAATGTCTCCATATTTTAAAAGCGAGACATTTAAAAGTACACTGAGATTTGTTTTTGATAGATGAGGCGAGTAGCTATAAAATTTTAGCATCTGTTTTATCGTGAATATTTTGTTACTTAAAACAACATGACTTCAACCTGTGATACGGAAAACATGCTGCCATGTGCAGAAAAGCTCTCAACGCGAAGCCAGATATGCCAGTGACCACTCGTGCTTCCGAGACGTGCAACGCCCGCCAAGTGACCACATGATCTCAAACCAGACTGCCAGACAATATTCGGCCCGTGACCATACATGTGAATGTAGACTTCCAGGTAATGCCCGTGCATTGATCATTCAGTAATACCATATTCTTATTACTGCATAATGTAAGATTTCTTACATGCTAAGGTAACCTTGATACACATTACCAGGCACCGTGTGATCACAATAAACGTTTTTTTGACATTCTGAGTGACCAGATCTTTCTCATATTCTATACTTTGTGGGGAAGCGATTTCCCCACGTTTGTATATTTGTGCGCACTCCTTTCTGATATAAGTTTTAAATAAAGAATCATTATAAAAATGAAAGTTTAATGTCGCTTCAGGTAAGCACAAATTTCCATTACGCTACGAGTCTATACATGTACTATTATGAAATATGAAGTTCGTACTTCAAGAATATATCATAACATTGAGTAAATGATGCATTGACAAGACTCTACAGCTTGATCTTACGTCTGAAATACACATATATGCTGCACATGTATTTATGACAAGGCACCTTTGTTCCCGCCAAATTATCCGTCACGTGACTAGAGTCGGATGCTGACACTGACAAGACGATCCGTCTTCCTCTTTTCCCCACCGGCCAAGCCCCCGGAACAACAGCTATATTGTTTAACGTTGGACATTAAAGTAGACTCTCCCTTTTTTAATGTAATACAAACTGGTGTTGTGGCTAGACATCTCGTAGAGAGCATCAAAACAAACAGCCCTGCCAAAACACTCCCGCCGTCTGCTTAAGCAATACCTCGCTACTTGAAATTCGACTGTTTTACGAAAATTCAGGACAAAACTATGCATTTCGAAAACAAATGTAGAGATTTACATATTATGTTTAATCATGATGATAATGAGCCTATTGACTTGAGTTCAGAAGTTTAATTAAGGTGAACTGAAACAAGTCCAGGAGTATCACTGAAATCGGCCTTCACTAATGCATTAATAATAATAATAATCAAAGTACTGAAAGTACTGAGAGGCTTAACGTATTGAAAAATGTTCACAAATAACCGCTAAGCTTCATTACTTTCCCCATACTGCTACACTTTGGAATGCAAAAATTACTAAATTAAGAGAACCAGAGGCTATTTTTCTTAATTTTAAGCAATTTTATATCTTCTTTAATCCTTATTTCATATTTGACGACAAAAATGTGAACAAATCAAAATAAACAAAATACACACAACCATATATTTATCGCCAACAAGCCAAATGATAAATAGCTCTATGATAAAGTTGACTAAATAAAACCTTTGAAATATCCAAGATGTTGCAATTACTATGCTATCAATATGAGGATTTAAACAAATCGAAAGGACTTTATACCTACTTCTTTATTTCGAATGTATTGAAAAGTAATAGTCCTTACTTATTATAATTATATTTGTAGTTCAGGAAAGTAGATAAGGTATACACAGCATTTCAGATAGATAAAAGTGTAAGTAATTACATTAAATGTTTTTACATGCCTATCTTCCTTGAAGTATCATGGTTAAACTTTTCTTCCAGTAATTATGTCTATAAAGGCGCAGTTCTATGAGATTAAACCAGACATCCATATATATACAAAATTTACAATATTTTCACTATAGCTACTACTATTTCTGATCTCCAATGCATTAGATAATGTCACCATGACACGCTAAATAAATAAATATGCTATGGAAATATTTCGTTTTAGTTAATTGATAATAATAAACATGAATATTTTGGGTTTTTTTATACGCGCTTTGTTTGAAGGAATATTTTCATTTCAAGGAACTTTGATACACATTAACAAACAGTGAGAAATCAGCACAATCAACCTTCATCAAATAAAACTAAAAGACAAAAAATATAAGTCATAACAAAGTCAACATTATGATCAGTACAGTATTAAAGATATATCATTCATAAATCACGAGCACCAAATGTACCTTGACTACGAAGCGCAAATTTTTTATCTTCAAAAACTTGAAAAAGTGTCGTGGTGGTGGGTGTGAAAATCCTGAAAAAGTGTCATATGGGCGGGTGTGCGCCAGTCCAATTTTGTGACGTCTAATGAGGTAAAGTGATATTATATTTAAACATATTTTATTGCATAAATTGTATATACAAATGATCTTGCCACAACGACAAGGATTATATAGAGAGAGAGAGAGAGACAAAGAGAGAGAGGGGGGGGGGGGGGAGAAAGAGAGAGAGGGGGAGAAAGAGAGAGAGAGAGAGAGAGTACATCTACAAATGTAGTGAAAAAGGAACAATAGCGATATGGTCTAACCCAACCCAGGTGACAATCACATTCTTTATACTATTCCACTCTTCCTAGCGTGATGTTCTGTTTGTAAGTTTTGTTTGTTTATAAGTGCTGTTAGTTGATAATTCAAACCAAGCCCCCAGACTAGCTTCTTATCATGGCGCCAACTCGCACGTACAGTGTTCTGACGCTTACGTCATGTCGAGAATTCCGTAAAATATATTGTTCAAAATTTATCAATAGTTCAACCACACTGCTTCTTTTTTGAAATATATGGGAATCGTATTGTTATTAAAAAATAAACTACTTTTGGATGCTTTTGAAATAGCTATTTGAAAGATCGCGGCATTATTTACGCAGAAAATTGCCGCTAGAGGGCTCTAACTCTTTTCGGTATTTCAGCCAATGAGAAGGCCAGGATCGGTAAATTTTGTCTGAAAGGCCGTCGCAATAGGCTATGCGTACTGAGTACGTTTAGCCTAAAAACGAACGAGAAAGAGAGTTCAGGCATTCCACGTCAGAATATACAAATGTACTGGAAGTTTTAGTTAAGACATATATTCTGTTTAAGACTGTTTCGGCCAATTGGGATTTCTCTATTGGTCATCTCCTTGATTCCAGTTCTTTAGGCCACTTTCATGATAGACGAGAGTCCAAAAAGAACGAAACACTAACGATGCCATTTACTTCAGTTATATGACATTGTTGTGTTATTCACTTGTGCGTCTTTTTGTTTTGTAAATCATTGATAACGAACGACCAAGGTTTGAGATGGGAGTGATGTTTATTTATTCTTATTTTTATTTATTTATCACAGAAAAGTCGAAAGTAAATATATGAACATCATTTCTGTCATCATCTCAGAAAAAAAGTTTAAACAAACTTGACGAATGTTATGAATGTGACAGCAGAATGTAAATATCTTCCTTACTGTTAAACTTAGGTCTTGACACTGACACGCTTAGGTGAGAATCTGACGATTAATCCAGAAAGAAAACTAAAATCAGGGAGAAAGAGATGTTGTGAGGACTGCGTAAAGAGTACTGAGCAATGACGGGCATCTACTGAATACATCATCAATTCACTTTACATAATCTGGTTGTTTCGAGTACTTTGGAAATTCTTCCATTTTGAAACTGAGGTATTGAACATTTACTGTAAGTTAAATGAATAAAAAAATCATAAATATCAAACGGCGTTGTTGCGAAAGAACTGGTTTCAAAGTATAGTAATTTTACCCAAAACAATTACCATTTCTTATTCTTTGGAGACATGATATTGGAACACAAAACAGTCGTGAAAACTCAAACACAAGACACAACAGAAAAGTTCTATAAAGTATAGTACTACCATTATTACAATAAAACAGGTATAATGAACTACCATCAATACAACAACACAATTATACAGAACTACCGTCAATACAACACAGATGTACAGACCTACTGCTAATACAACAACACAGGTGTACAGAATTACCGTCAATACAACACAGATATACAGACCTACCGTCAATACAACAACACATTTATACAGAACTACCATTAATACAACAACACATGTGTACAGAACTACCGTCAATACAACACAGATATACAGAACTACCGTCAATACAACAACACAGATATACAGAACTACCGTCAATACAACAACACAGATATACAGAACTACCGTCAATAGAATAACAAAGGTGGACAGAGCTACCGTCAATATAACAACACATGTATAAGGAACTACCGTCAATACAACAACACAGGTATACAGAACAATCGTCAATACAACAACACATATATGCAGAACTACCGTCAATACAACACATATATACAGAATTATCGTCAATACAACAACACAGGTATACAGAACTACCGTCAATACAACACATATATACAGAACTATCGTCAATACAACAACACAGATATACAGAACTACCATCAATACAACAATACAGATACACAGAACTATCGTCAATACAATACAGGTATACAGAACTACCGTCATACAACACAGATATACAGACCTACCGTCAATACAACAACAAAGTTATACAGAATAACCGTCAATACAACAACACAGATATACAGGACTACCGTCAATACAACAACACAGATATACAGAACTACCATCAATAAAACACAGGTATATAGAACTACCGTCATACAACAACACATATATACAGAACAACCGTCAATACAACAACACAGGTATACAGAACTACCGTCATACAACACAGATATACAGACCTACCGTCAATGCAACAACACAGTTATACAGAACTACCGTCAATACAACAACACAGATATACAGAA